GCCCCCGCCCCGAGCCCCCCCGCCGGCTCCGGGCCCCCCCCGGCCCAGCGACATGGAGACGGTGGGAAAGTTTGAGTTCAGCAGAAAGGACCTGATCGGGCACGGAGCCTTCGCCGTGGTCTTCAAAGGCAGGCACAAAGAGGTGAAATAAGCTCTTTTTGTTTTATTTTTTAATTTCTCTTTTGGTCTGGGCCGAGCCGGGCACCGCATCCCCATCTCCCGGGCCGCGGCAGCGATTCCCAGCCTGGGCTCCGGGGCAGCTCTGGTGATGGCAGACACATTTATGATTATTTATTGCTGTTATTCTGGAGTTTCTGTGGGAGGCAGGCGTGTGTCCCGGCAGGAGCCGGGCAGGTGCCTTCACCCTGCGCTGGAGGCCGGCAGCCCAACGCCGGGGTGTCCGCGGAGACCTCCTCCTGCTCGCCCAGAGCCGCCCTTACCTTGGAAAGAAGTCTGCCCACACCGTCTGTGGAGTGCGTGGAGGGCTCTTGCTTCGGGGTCTTTTGTTGTGGCTGGGAAGTTTTGTCCTTCTCCACTTAATTTTGCCAAGAGGAGGGGAAATCGCTCGCTAGTAAAAAAAAGGAAACCCATCCGGCAGTGGATTTGCCATCGTTAGGGCTTGGGATAAGCCATGGCTTCCACAGCGTGTTTATTTGTAGTGATTAAATAAGAGGATAATCATTGTATAAAGTAGTGACAAAAACCCAAACCTTGGGCTTTTCTCCTTGGGCTGACAAGCATAATTCAGGAAAGGGCAAGTCTGAACAAGTGAGGGGTAGGCATTAGGAGATAGAGAGGCCTTTACCAGTGCTGCAAGTCATTTCTTTCAGTAGGATTTGTAATCTGTTAAGAGGCTACTTATCCTAATGTAAATTAATGGTGAAATCTACATTTATCTTTGAAATACATATGCACTCTTTCAGAAACCTGAGCTGGAAGTAGCTGTGAAATGCATTAACAAGAAAAACCTTGCAAAATCTCAGACTCTGCTGGGCAAGGAAATAAAAATACTTAAGGTAAAGGTAGACTGACTTGTTTTCTTCAGCCTTTGTTCTGTATGTCCTTTGCTCCTAGCTTACGGTCCTTGTTTTACTTTTTCTAGGAACTGAAACATGAAAACATCGTTGCTTTGTATGACTTCCAGGTAAATACTTTCAATTATGGCAAAGCATTTTGACTTTGGGAGAGGTTGAATGGAGTTTGTGGAATTTCAGTTGTGAACAGATGTTTAGAATAAAATGTCCTTATTCTGGGAGGGAAAAAAGTCTTCTGATAAGCAGAGTAAAGACAAACAAACATGGCTGGGCAGATCATGTATTAATTGCTGGCTGGACCACAGAACTCTTATGCAGTTGGGAAGTTGAGGTGGGAGCTCTTGCTCCCAGGATGTTATGCAGTGAAGTGCAGTATGTGGAGAATATGTCTGTGTTGGAAGCTCCTAAGTTCTCAAAACATTAGAAATAAAATCACAGTAGTTGTGCTTGGCATGCCTACCTTTTATTTTCTTTCCCTGGTCTGGATGTACTCCTGAAGAAAATGTCTTTTTCCTAAGCAATGTAAGAATAGTGTGAGCATGACTTTTGTAGCATATGATTGTTTTTGGTTGCAGAGGATTTTCATTTGCATTTTTCTGTTGTCCTTGTGGCAATCGCTAAGTGTTAAAAATTGCAGCAGACATTTTTAGATTATTGTGGCTTCCCGCAGTTGCTTTTTCCTTCCAAGTCAGCTCTGAAGATCTAATCTAAGGGACTAAAACCGATCAGCTCTGAAACCCAAATTATTCAATGACTTCCCCCTCCCCCCCC